CATTCTAATGGAAGAAATAGCATGCAAATAACCACACACATCCAAGATATATACAGTGTAAAATGAAGGGAGTCTCTGAAGGAAGGTCTAGCAGTGGGGAGGAGGGGGAAGAGGGAGAAAAGGCCTTCTGCAAAAGGTAGAATTTGAGCTGAGTCTTAAAGGAAGCCAGGTGAGGTTGGAGAGCACTTCTAAGCGTAAGGGGACAGGTAGGAAAAAAGCAGTCAGAAAATGGAATAGCATGTGTGAGGAACAGCTAGAAGACCAATATGGATGGATTGCAAAATCTGTGGAGTCAATCAATGAACATTTATTAAGTACCTACTGTTTGCCAAGCATTATAAAGAGCATTGGGAATACAAAGAAAGGCAAAAGAGAGCCAGGCTTTGCCCTCAAGGGGCTCACAATCTAATGGGGGGTGACAATATACAAATAACTATGTACAAACAACTGAGATAAAAAATACTTGAGAGATAAATTGGAGATTATTAACAGCTAGAATTAAGGGGGTTTGGGAAAGGCTTCTTGTAGAAGGTGGGATTTTTAGCTGGGACTGGAAAGAATCCAGGAATTGAAGATGAGGGGGGAGAGAGAGCTCCAGGCATTGGGGACAGTCAGAAAAAAAGTTCTGGGATCCAAGAGATGGAGTGCTTTGTTCATGGACCAGCCAAGAGACCACTATCTCTGGTTTGAAGAGTATAGGGTGGGGATCAAGGTAAGAAAAGTGGAAGGGGGTTATGAATGGCCTTCAATGCCAAATAGAAGATTTTGCAGTTGATCCTGGAGTTGAGAGGCAGCCAATGGAGTTCATTGAGTGTGGGAGTGACATGGTGAGTCCTGCACTTTAGGAAGATCACTCTAATAGCTTAATGGAGGATGGGCTGGAGTAGAGAGAGACTTGAGACAGGCAGTACAAACAAAAGGCTATTGTAATAGTCTAGGCATGAAGTGATGAGGGCCTGTACCAGGGTGGTGGCTGTGTCAGAGAAGAAAAGGGGATATATATGAGAGATGCTTTGAAACTAAAATCAACAGGCCTTGGTGACAGATTGAATGTAAGGATAAGAGAGTCAAGGATGACATGTAGGTTGTGAGCCTGAAGGACTGGGAGGAAGAAGATGCCCTCGATGGTAATAACAAAGGTAGGAAGGTTCGAGGAGAAATAGGAGTTCAATTTTGGACATGTAGCATTTAAGATGAATGTCTACAGGACACCCAATTTAAAATGTCCAATATGCAGTTGGAGATGCCAAACTGGAGGTCGGGAGAGAGGTTAGGTGGAGAAAAGTAAGGTTTAAGAAGACTGAAAATGGAACAAGCATTTATTAAGTTCCAAATCAGAGAGGGACAAAATCAGAGAGGATAGAAGGGATAGGACAACCAAGAACTAAAGAAGGAGTCTAGCTGCCAAGCCCTGCCCCCCTCAAGAGCCCCAGAAGGCCAAGACCAAGGTCAAGGGGGAGCTTTCAGCTCTTGCTGCCTTCCTAGGAGCAAGGTCAGAAACCATGGAAGGAACAAGAGTGACTCAATGCTCCCTTCTCCCTGAGCAAGCCAAGGACCCAAGAAAGAGCCCAACTAGGAATTTCTGCTCTTCAGGATAGGTTCTGTGCCAAAGGGCTCAAGCTGAGGCAGAACCTCAGGCTTGTGATCCCTAACCAAGGGCAAAAATAGAGAAGATAGAAGTAGAAGGAGAGCTTCCAGGACATTTTCTTCCAAGGGTCAGAGCAAGCAAAGAGATGAGCCATCCACCCATCGTTTAATTCACTCATCCATTTCCCTCTCAATTAGGATGCCTGACCTGTGGTGGGGAAGGGGAAGAATTGACATCCTGAGGCCATACCTGGGTCCAGAAAAAGTCCCTTCACTTTCCTAGACCTCTATTTTCTCCTTTGAAAAATGTGGGGTCCCACACAATGGCCTCTGACATCTTTACTAGCTTTAAATCTATGATCCTGGGAGCAAGCAATCCTGTCTCTGGATAGCTCATGGAAGAAGCTGCTTAGAAAAAATCAGAGCAAATATGAATCATTCCATCCATTCATTCATCCATCTACCCAGTTACCACTCTTTGACTTAGGTGCTAAGTCTTTTTCTTCTTTGTTTCTAGTCTTGTGGCTTATGGCAGATAGGAAAGGAATGAGACATTCACTTGTCTGGGTATAGACAGAAAAGAAAGATTTGTCAGTATACCAAATTATCATGGTGGAATGCACTGAAAAATCAGTACTTTCCTACAGGAATACATATGTACACACATTCTCTCCTCCTTTCCAGCTTGAAGGTCCACCTCATTACTCTTGCTGGGAGGTATGGGTAGAATGACTTCCTAGGTACTGACCAAAATGACAATCACCAAAAATTTCATAGAGGCAGCTTAGAAAAGTAAGGACAAAATGGATTCAAATATTACCTGAGGCCCTGAACACATGATGTTCTTTGCCTCTGAGGTCTCCAGGGAACTCTCAAAGACTGTGAGTGGTAGGTTTGGTGCCAAGAAGGACTACTATATAGATACTAAACATTATATACACTTTCAGCCTGAATGGATGAGTTGGAAGCTTGTGATGAATTGCCTCTTTCCTCTTGCCCTCTAATTAATTCTTTATCTAAGGAATAACTGTGGGAGGGGCAGAGGGTTCTTCCAGGAAATGAAGGTGATGTACAAACCAACAGAAATTTCTAAAAATTAAGAACAAAAAGTAGAACCCAGACAGACAGAAATCTATATACACTGCGAATTAAACCAAACCCAATACCACCCTCATGACAGAGGGAGGAATGTGGACAAGCTGACTGTCTGAGGATAGGCCAGCTGATTAATCCAGGCTTAAAAAAAAAGAAAGAAAGAAATCCAGGATAGACTGTACCTCCAGCTAGAAATCATGAATTCAAAGAGTCTTTGGAAATGGTAGGGACTTATAACTTAGGTAAATAAGAGACCATTCCCTTTAAAAATAATTAATTTAAAATTTTTTTTTTAAATTAAGGGAAAAAAGAAATGAATCAAAGGCTGTGGAGGAGGTGGGGGGAGATTTCATGGAGAAACTGACTGTGCTTAGCTCACAAGGAGAGTCAAACAAAATGAAACATTCACACATTAAAAATGAATAAATATCACCCAAACCATGCCTTCTGGGTCTACTACCCCAATTTCTGTTCATGTCAGCAGACTGAATCACTGGAGAGTGGCTGACTACCATGCCCCTCTAGGTTCTAGGGGTAATCCCAAGGGTCACTGCAGTTGCTAGTACTATTGCTGATGAGTGTCTCTAAGTGTGGTCCCCATTGATTATCATTCAACCTTAATTGGATTTTAGGGGGAAAAAAAGTATTTACTACGAAGGGATAGCAAGGACGGTTGTTCCAAAAACAATCTCCCTAAACCAGAGGTGCGTTCTCCTCTTAAACACACGAGGTCGCTATGGAGTATGCTCAAAGATATTGTAAAAAGGTAGTAAAGTACCTATGTAGGGAGCAAACATGTGCAGGTCACATCTCCGTCCAGAGTTTCCCCTGCCCCTAGGTGTAGCAATCTGGCAGGCTCTTTGTCTTTGTAGACTGTATTGCTGATACTTTGTCTATGAGTCAATGGTTCTTCCAGCTACACCCAGAAAAGTGCTTCCCTTAACCCCTGGACGTCCTGGGGATCCTTCCTTTCCTCTTCCCTTCACCACAGACCCCTGTACCCAGCCAAGGTACTAAATCTTTAGTAGGGAACAGAGTACTCCCTTCCCTGCAAGCTGGAGGAGAGGGCAGGACAGCTGGAGCCCATCATAGCCATCTCATTCTATCTGGACAATGACAATAGTGGAAGGAACATCCCAAAGTACATCTGGGACTGTGTGGAGCCAAACTCACCTAGTATGGGGATGGGAATACTCTCTCAGAACAAAGCCTGGGCTCTCCTGGAGGAAGCCTCCTGCCCACAACCAGAAGATCAGCTGGAGTTCTCTGTGGGGCAATGCTTCATTCCCCAGCATATACCCCATGAAAACAGGACCCCTTGGGATACGTTCCAGAGCTCCACACAGAGTTAGGTACAAACATACGATCTCAACATAGACACATACATGTAGAACAAGAAGTGATTGTTTAATTTTTTAACATCCTCCCTTCTATCTCTGGCAAGCTTTAGCACAGTCGGATTCGACTGGGGTGGACGTGGACTGGTTGGATTGGACACAAAGAAAGATTCGCTTCCTCCAAGGCTTTTGCATTCCTTTTCAATGACATACAATGGATTTGATGTTGTTGTTGTTGTTGTTGTTGTTGGGTTGTTTTTCAGGTGTATCCAACTCTGTGACTCCATTTGGGGTTTTCCCGGCGAAGATGCTGGAGTGGTTTGCCGTTTCCTTCTCCAGCTCATTTTACAGATGAGGAAACTGAGGCAAATAGAGTTAAATGACCTGCCCAGGGTCACACAGCTAGTAAGTATCTGAGGCCAGATTTGAACTCAGGAAGATGAGTCTTCCTGACTTCAAGCCCACCATTCAATCCACTGTGCCACCCAGCTACCCTTGTGGTGGATAGCTACTCCCAATACCAGAAGATCTCTATATATTTATACCAAAAACAATACAATATTTTTCAACCAATTCAATATCCATCCTTTAAAGAAACAGTTCCATGTTTTAGAAATCCAACCCAATCAGCAATGTCCACTTTGCTTCCATCACTTGGAAACACGTACTTAGTTCCCCTAGCAACTTCCAGAGACATTAGCACTTCTGGATATATTCCAACCCAACACTCACTGCAATAAATTTCCAAAATAACCACTGACCCATTAAACATTCTACCATTCAAAGCTGACAAAAAGCCTTTGACCTTTCCTCCCCCAAAAGGAAATCACCCAAAATGATTCTGTATAATGCGTAAAAGTGCCAATGTAAGCTACAATTAATGTCCATTTCAAAATACAGAGTTCTCCAAATAAAGAGTTCTCCAAAAGGTCAGAGCTAAGCAGGTGAGATGCCTTTGGGCCTTCGTGCTACTTCTGGTTGCTAGCACAATTTGACTTCAATGTTGCCATCGCTGAAGGCTTCTCTCCTCACTGCCTCCACTGCTCCCTTCCGATGACTCAGCCTGCCCCGCCTTCTGCCTGGAGCGTGGGACCCTTTGACGATGCAAAAGCAGATCGCAGAGAGGTAATTCTTTTTGAAGTTTTCATTCATGAAAGCATAAATGATAGGATTGCAGATCGAATTGGAGAAGCCAATGATTTGCACAACAGCAAAAATCATCTTGATGGTAACATCATCATATTCCTTTTCAAAATTACCTGGAAAAGAAGAGCAATAGTTTGAGGACACAACTTCATCAAGTAGGGCCAGTGATAAGATGTCCCCACCCACTTTCCTGGTTTTACAAAAGATATCCTGGTATGATGGGCCGTGCATTGGTGGGAGTGGCAGAAGATGGGACTTGGCTATTGGCTGCTGAAACTCACTGCCTGTGTGAGTCCATATAAGCTCCTAACCCACAAAATGGATAAAACACACTTGTTGCTTTTTTTCATAAAATCAATTCTAGTTGTATTTATTAATTCACTATTTTTTTACACTCAATCTCATTAATCTCACCTTTAATCTTCAGGATTTCCAGTAGTTATTGTTAAGAAGGCACTTTGTAAGCAGTAATGCACTACTTGAATATGAGCTGCTGATACCTCAGAATTCCTCCCCTGGGTCCAGCAGCTCTGTTAGATGAGCCTTTCCTTTATCTTCTGAGGACTCAGGCTTCCACACTACTTCCCTGCCCACTGTCTACCACGCCTCTTTTACTCTGGCAATCACCTCCACTTTCTACCCAGGGGTGATTGGACTCTGGCCTTGGTTTAAAGTTGTTTTTTATCTTACTCTATCTACTTCAGAGCTTGTTCCAACCGTTCCCCCCCATACTTCCAGATACTGAGTCATTTTTGGCCACAGCAACTTTTGAAGACACTTCATGGATGGGGGGAAATGAATGGGAAGGAAGCACCCACTCCAATTAAATCCAAAAACCTTGAAACTGAATAACACAGCAGCTTAGAATTTGGAGGCAGAAGTGACACAGATCATCTATTCCAACCACCTCTTTTTACAGATCAGTAAACTGAGGCTGATGTGAAGTGACTTCTCTAGGGCCACCTAGCTAGCAAATGATAGAGCTGGAACTCAGAACCAGGATTTTGGACTCCAAACCCAGGATTCTTTCCACCAAGCCATAAAGTATTGCGTGTACTTCATAGGACAATTTTTATGGACTTTTGCAATTTAAAAATCCTCTGATATAGTAACATTATCAGTTACATTGGAAGCTGCAAATTTTTTCTCTTCCTGGCAAGGCAGTATTAGAAAAGGGCTTGCTAACCCTTCCCCTCCTTCTATTCTGCATGTCAAGGAAATCAGGCTCAGGTAATTTGAGTAATTTCACCCAGGGTTACTCAAAGAGACTTACGGGTCTTACGGACCCAAAAGAAAGGGCAGCATTAAACTGAAGGGTCTGCTGAGCCTCTAGACCAGAATCTGAGGTCCATGGATGGTTTGTAGTCAAATTTCAGGGGGTCCATGAACTTGGACAGGAAACAACTTACATCTGTATTTTCACTAACCTCTAGCTGAAATTTAGCATCTCCTTCAATTATAAATTTTTAAAGTATTCTGAGAAAAGTTCCATAGGCTTCACCAGGTTGCCAAAGGGGTTCATGACACAAAAATAGTTAAGAACCCCTGCTGTAGACTGATGGGAGTCACTAAGACAGGTAGGAGACAACTTGTCCTGATATTGGGGGGGGGGCGGGAAGCACTGAGCAGTCAACCCTGACCCAACCTGATATTGGGGACAAGGCTACAATTTAGATCAGTGGAGGTCAAGTGGTTCCATCTATTGAGAAGGATTCTAAGGTACAATTCAGAAAGTCTGTAGGAATCCTTGTGCATCACAGAATTAAGAGTGGGATGGATTCAGAAGGCCAAGTATCTCTGCTAAGATAAGGCAATTTTGGAATATATCCTATGGTTCCTGGACTGCTCTCTGGGATCACCATGAGCTGGGAATGACAAAATAAGGCCAATGTCATCTGCTGGAGAGAGGTACTAGTACCCTGGTCAGCAGCAGAACCACAATGGGGAAGGGGAATGAGGAGTGCTTACCCACTTCCCTCCACCTATGGCAGGGAAAGGCATAAGTTATATTGTGTAATTGTCCAAAGGAACTGGGAAGTGAGTGAGAGACTAATTAGAGACAACCATGAGAGCTTCAGCAGGAGAATCATGCTGAGGAACACACAAGAAGCAACACTTCCTGGGAGACTACCAAGGGCGTGGCTCTGTTATCCAGGCTTCTTATTTAGGTGGCTTCTAGATAAATGTCACTGTTTCCTGTGAGGTCTGTGAAATCTCATTTGCTTTATTTATCCTAGAACAGAGCTTCCCAAACTCATTTGGCTTACTGCCCCCTTTTTAAAAAATTACTCAGTGACCCCCTGGAAAACTACATTCTTTAATCCTTTAATTTTTTTTAATTTGCATCATTTCAAAAAATATATTTTTTAAAATGACATATTTAAAATGAATAATTTATTGGAAATTTGTAGATTTTTTCCTGCATTGAAATTTTGATGATGCAATATTATGTCATGTAACTTTATAGTATCATATTGTAAACAAGTCATTACACACACATATTCCTGCCAATGCAAGCTGGACTTCCCAACAATGAGAGACATACTCACCTGCCAACACTTGCTTGTAAAGAGAGAACTGAGGCAGAGATTAAATGACATGTCCACTGATTGGTTATAACTTGCGTTTTGTGTGTTTATTTAGAAAATAATGTAATCACTATGATTTTAACTCTGTTACACAACAGATGAAACATGTACAAATGCTTTTTTCAAAATTCTTTTTTCTTCTTTCCTTACACTTCCACTGCCCTGTTATTTTTATTCAGTGCTCCCCAATTGTCCTCAAGCTATGACCAACCCCCTGGATCATTCCAGCACCCCCAGGGATATCAACCACTTTGGGAACCTAGGTGACCTAGAAAGAAACCAGTCCATTCTTTGAGCCTTGTTGAACCCTATGATTGAAAAGAGAATTTCTGACAATAACCTGGGTGGTGGTAGATTGTGAAGTATTCTGATGACCTGAGAGGGCAATAAGCCAGAAAAATGAGAAATCCCTCAAATTCAACCCATACCCTTTATGTCATGTGAGATCCTTAGCCAGAAAGATTACACATCCCAATTTTCCCTGAGTTATGTTTAGGTCAATCTGAAACCTCTAGGCTCTAAATAGTGTGGGTTTTTTCTCTGTGCTTTTCTAGTTCATTGGCATATTAATAGAACATTAGGTTGTAAGGGCAAAAACACATCGTGGAAAAATAAGGTCTTAGGTAATAAAACACAGAAGCCTTTGAGTGAGATGCAGGACACTGGAACAAGCCAGGACTTCAATTGGGACAGTTTTTATCTCTTAAGTCTCACAACATCCATACTCTCTAAATGAGAATGAGAAGACTGACTTTTGGGGATGTGTGTTCATCTAGTATGGCTAAAGAGTGTTGGGATCTTCCACAGTATCTGTAATGATTCAAGCCCCAACTGCAGGAATGCAGCCTAATTACCACCCTGAGCCCTGGGCCCTGGGCCCAACAGTCTAGCATTTCTGAAAGAGTGGGGAAAGGGGCAGTGTTCGATATTAAGTACTTTCTGCCCTCAGTGACAGGACCCTGTGTTCAATTGTTTTATATTATTGTTATATATAATTGTATGTTCTTAGCAGTGTACTCATTATCAGAGGCAAGGGAATAGTACTATCCTGAGACCAGGAATGATGAGCACTTACTGTATTCCATCATCATATGAATTACATGAAAAGGAGCCCAGCATACAGTGAAGAGGGAAACCACCATCACCATCATGATGACAGCTCGCTTCTTCTTCCTGGGAAGAAAAAAGCAATCGGCTCCAGAATGATTGTGAATCCACGCATCACTACATTTATTATTGACATTATTATCCTGCTTCTTCTGCAAATGAGTATGTTTATCTGCTAGCTAGCCAGCTGAGCCTGGAATCCTCAGCCATCATTTCTCAAATACTAATCCAGAAATCAGCAGAAGAACCAGCTCTGCTCTTAGTCAACAATTCCATTCCACGAGTGAAGCACCATGGCTTGGTGGATAATACTGCACTTGGAGTATGTAAGTCTAGGGTTCAAATCCTACCTCAGATGATTCCTACCTGTGTTACCTTGGGCAGGTCATTTCAGCTCTCTCAGCCTTAGTTTCCCCATCTACAAAATGGAGATAGGAACAGTATTTACCTTACAGGGTATTGTGAGGATCGTATGAGATAATGAATATAATGTGCTTTGTAGACTTGAAAATGCTTTGTAAATATAAGTTATAACAGACAGAGTCAGAAGGAGCTTTAGAAATCATCTAAATTCTACCAATCTAAGCCAAGTCCTTCATATTACAGATGAGCAAACTGAGGCTTCAAGAAATTAAATATATTACCCACAGCTCTACAGGTAGTGAGTAAATAAAGACAATCATGACCATTTCTACAGCGCTTTGGGGTTTGCAAAGTGCTTCATAAGTTATCCCATCTGACTCTCACAATAACCCTGGGAGGCAGGAGCTAATATCATCCTCATCTTACAGATGAGAGAACTGAGGCAGAGGTTAAATGACATGTCCAGCGCCACACAGCCATTAAGTGTCTGAGGCAGGATTTGAACTAAGATCCTTCTGAATCCACGTCTAGCACTCTACCCACTGTGCCTTTTTTTTTTTTAAAGAAAAACATGAGTGTGTCCCCAGGAGAGCTGACAGTGAAGTATGTAAATAACAACAATAACAATAATAATAACTGCAATATATTCAATGTGTTTTACCTTGAAAGGTGCTTTCTATATGCAGTAGAAAGGGCACATGATCTGGAGTCAGAGGAACTGGGTTCAAATCATGGCACTGTTAAACACAAAGCACTTTTCAAGCTAAAAAGATTTCAATACATGCCAATTATTGTTGTTGTGGTTGTGGTTGTGGTTGTGGTTGTGGTTGTGGTTGTTAATCACATGTTCTTCTGTCAGCTATCCTGGGCACACGTTCATGGTTTTCTAAAAAATAAAATAAAAAGGGAAATTCTCTGAGCTCTACTTCTTTTAGTTTCACTTTTTTAAAAAAAGAATCATTTGTTCTGAAAATGAAATACTTGAAAATATTTAAAAGCATAACATAAGAAGAATGTAAAGTAATATTTTAAAAAAAGATACTCCTACCATCTCAGAATCTCAGGACTGGAAGGAATTTCCAAGATCATCAGGTTGAACGTAAATTTCAATGATGTCTCCAGTAACCATATGGACACCTGAAGTGAGGGGGAACCTATTATTTTCTAAGGTACCCCATTCCACTTTTGGACTGTTGTAATTGCTAGCTATGTGACCCTGGGCAAGTCACTTAATCCTGTTTGCCTCAGTTTCCTCATCTGTAAAAATTAACTGGAGAAGGAAATGGAAAAGGATGGTCTAGTATCTTTGTCAAGGAAACCCCAAATGGGGTCACAAAGAGTCAGACACGACTGGAAAATGACCAAACCACAAAAGAGGAATAGGCATGCATAGAATCCAAAGTGGAAAGCAAGTGTTTATTTTAACACAGAGACCACTAGAGCTTGCTACATGTGTACCTCAAGAAAGAAGGAAGCTTCTGACGATCCCTATGGTGCTCTAAACAAAATGCCTATTTGGAAAAGATTACACATGTGCATCTTTGTGTGGATACGGAGTGTGCCAAAAGTTTTAGAACTGAAAGCAGAAGCTGCACTGGGATAGATAATAGATATATGTGGGGTGTCCTGGGAAATGCTTAGCTGCCTCTGCCCACTCCAAAATAATGTTTGCAAGACAGACTTTTAAGGTTGACCTGTATTATGAACAGTTTCTCCATCGCTTTCGTAAGTCTAGACAATCAACAATGATGAGAACAACACAAATCAAGCCCTGATTTCTATCTCCACTTTCTGAAGTGTATATTTAATGTTTAACAATTGGCTGTGGAAAACTGCTTCAAGCTGGCTCCAGTACACCCCTGAACATACATATATATATATATATATATATATATATATATACACACACACACACACACACACATACATACATACACATATATAGATAGATCTATAGATTATATATATGATGTGTATGTATATATATACACATATATACACATAATATGTATTGTACATGTATAAATGTGCATGTGTAGGTAGGTGGGATACATGCATAGATAATGTGCACATATGTAGGTATATATGTACATGTATACAGACAACTATACATATAAGTGCATTCTACAATACACACACATGCACACACATGTATATGTTCAGGAAGGTATTAGAACCAGCTCCAGTGGATAGGTGTATACATGTATGCATGTGTGTATGTATCCATGCACTTGTACCATGGCTATAGATGGACAGCAATACTGGGGAAGTTATGTCCCACCCTATTCCCTTTCACCTGGATGGTTTAGGAAGAAGCCTCAAGAAATCTAAATAACCCCATCCAGTGGCTCCTCAGAGAACCTGGGTGAACTGAGAATTACTGGGAAAAGAATAGGGTCACTGAGTGGGAGGTGATTTGGAGGGTTAGCAGAGAGAGTGTAAGCCGGATCAGAAGAGGGGCCTTAAAGAAAGTTGGAGCAAATGGTTTTGATCTGGAGGAGAGGCTACGGAGAACTGAGGGTTGGTAATGAAGACTCCACTGCATGGTGATGTGTGCCAACTACTCATCCTTGGGTTTCCCCAGGGCTGAGGCCTGAGATTTGTCTTAGCAACATTCATTTTTTCCAAATGTTCAATTAACAACAGTGCAATTCAATTGAACTCATCTGAGAGGCAGTTTGAACTAGTAGATGTTGTGCTGTACTGAGTCAGGAAAGACTTGGGTTCTAATCTCGCTTCTGATCGTTCTGATCGCTGACCCTGGACAAACCACTTCAGCTTTCTGAGCCTCAGTTTCAACAACAGTAAAATGGGGAGATAATATTACTCCATAGATTCATTAAGTAGATTCTCATGAGATAATGTATGCAAAGAGCTATATCAATGTTCATTTTTATTATTATGCCATTTACAGGAACGTCTTTTAAGTGGGAGCAAATATGTCAACACACCAACCTGGTTATCTTCAACATTTCATTTCCATGAATAGCTTTGAGAACAGAAGAGTCTCCTACTCTTCTCTTGAGCCAGAGCTCATAGGCAATTTTACCATAAAGGACAAGCATCGCCACAAGAGGCAGCAAGAAGATGATGATGAGGATGAATGTAGTGTAGATCTTCTGGTGGACAGGACTGCTCCATTCTTCCAGGCAACAAATGTGTTCTTGTTCATATAGGAAGTCATATTTAATCTATAAAAGAAAAAAGGGAATCAGAACTCAGAATCCAAGGAACATAATGGTCCTCTTCTTTGTTTTGATGTATCATATAAAATTGCTTTTATCTCCTACAATTGAATGAATTTTAAAGCATGATAAATTTGCCTTCCAATGATCAAAGTGATTGAAGAATGATGCTTTTCCAATAAGGTACTTCACCATCACCACCCATCATGGGCTCATAGGATGATAGGTTAAAGGTTGGAAGGGATTTTATAGGTCATCAAGTTCAAATTATTCATTTTACAGACAAGTAAACTAAGGCCCAGAAAAGTTAAGTGATTTACCCAAGATTTGCATATGCAGCTACTGAGACAGAACCATGATTTGACTCTGATCTCCTCACTCCAAACCTATCACTCTTTGGACCGGAGGTGGGGAACCTGTGGCCTCGAGTGTGGCCCTTTGACTGAATCCAAACTATTCAGTCAAAGGCTCCCTATCCCTGTGACTTTGAACCACACCCTGTTGCTTCTGAATTTTTCTCTTCTAGTAGGACATAGCTTGTCTTTGCAGCTTTTAAATCCCTTAGAGTCACAGGTCTGCTTTTGAGCTCTGAGAGGAGATCAGATCAGTGGATGGTATGACTCTGTGCTTACCCAAGCGGATATAGAAAAGCTTTTTGTATTCCCAAGCCTGAGACACCCTTCTTGCTCCCTGAGGCAGGTTACTCCATTTCAAGGGTTGATGAATGGACCTTGCAGACCTAGGGGATTCTCAAGCTCTGTCAGGTTTGCAGTGGTTGCAAAGTTCAGAAATGTTAGGATTCTATGAGTAAATGCACCTTTAACCTGGGCCAAGAAAGCCAGGCACCTCCCTGGGATGGGTGATGCACTGTCATGGTTGGCATAACAAAAATACTCTTTCATTATGCTTTTTCTTGGCCTTAGTTTCCTCCTCTTCAAATGTGGATATCAGATCAGTGGTCATCACCTTTTTGCAGCATTCTTTGGCAAATCAAAATTTTAAGTTGGTTTAAAAAATAGTACAGTTGAGGCCTCTAGACTCATTACCCGGACTTTGGGAATCCCCAGACTTTCCTTCCCCTTTCCCACAATTATCTTTGCTTGCCCAGGATCACAATGGAAGAAGCAGCATTGTGCCTCCATGGAGAGAACTGCACTGTGACTTTCCTGACAACAAGCCAGGAAGAGGAGGAAGTAAAAGTGCATCCGGGGTGATAGACAGGGAACATGGAAGCTTTGGGGTGCAGGGAGGAGTTTCATAATACATCTAGCAAAACTGATGGTATCTTCTTTGAGAATCATTGAAATAGAAGATTTTGGGTGCCCCTTCTAACTCTAGATCTGATGGTGCACTTTGCTCTTATGCATCACTATGGGCACCTACTTCCTCAGCTATCCTTAGCTAGTTCATCATTTCAACTGTCACCAAGTTACCTTCTAGCTTATTGTAAGGTGGTGGGAGTAGGGAAAGCAGGGCTGGTGTGCAAAAGCTCCCACCTTCTTACCCAGCTCCAGGAAAAGCACAGGACTCAGTAAAGTGGCCCCCAAAACCAGTCAAGTGACTCAATTGAGCAGGTGGTTTTCTGTTATTAACAAGGTAGGAATTCTTAAATTCATCTCTAATGACCAAATTTGACAGAATGAGGAGGCCACAATGAGCTATGTACCTGGATGAAGGAGGAAGCTTTCAATTATTACTAGGGCAAGGTCCTTTAATGAAAAAAATAAACTCATTCCTTGGAGGGAAATGGGGGCAGAAATAAGTGCAGCTCCTGCTACCTTCCATCTGGAATGTAGGAGATAGAGTTTTTGTCTTTAACACTTAGAGCAGCTAAGGAGGCATATGATCCAACAGATGAGAAATAGGGGGCAGCTCTCTCCTGCTGAGTCTGCTCTCTGGGATTGGCTTTACCCAGAGGAAAGAGAATGAGAGAACTGCACAGTCTTCACATTCTCTGTTGGAGGTCCTTTAGCTATCAAACTCTATGACTTTAAAATGGAGCTAATCCTTGGACTGTTACAGGGTCACTGTGCATAAAATGCTGTATAAAACTTAAAGTGCAATTGAAATACAAGCTATTATTACTGTAGCTATGAAGCTATGGAGGAGAGGATCCTGGATCTTAGAGGGAAATTTAGAAGAAAATGGCTTGAATTAGAATTTAGAATTAGAATTATTATAATTTTTTAAGTCGTGAGATGTAAACAACTCAGGAGAGCAATCTCTAGAGCATCACAATAATAAATGAGCAAAAGTCCTACTACTTGATGGAAAATGTTTTCTACTATGAAGATGGGAGTAGCAATGGGGAATGAGGAAAAGTACTCTCAGGGGGCAGAGTTGGGGAGATAGAGGCCTTAGCATCTATTTTTCAAAAAATAATTTCCCACCAGAAACAAGGCTTGGGTGAAACACTAGGTGACCCCGTTTACAAAACAACTCCTTCCTATCTGAGCTTCCTGGCAGATTCCCAAGAAAATATATGAGTCTGAGCAGTGTTGCAAAAGAAAGAGAACATGGAAGAGCTTCACAGCAAGTGGGGCAGGGGAAGATTTCCAAAATGCAGTGGTAATATGCCTGTATACCTCCAGCTGCTGCACGTGCCACATGGGAGATCCAACGATCACAGCGACCAGCCAAACAATGCCTGAAAAGCCATCGAGTTATTAACAACCAGAGTAATTAATAATAACAATAACAACAACTAGCATTTATATAGTACTTTAAGGTTATTAAATCACATGTATCGGTTACTTTATAATTATATTCAAAGATGAGCCATGGTAGTAGATGACATCTGCAGTCACGACTTACTTCAAACTTCAAAATCTAAACCACTGAAGACTGGTTCCAAGGTCAGTGTGTTTTCACATGGCACCTCTCTACCTCTTAGTTTATGCAAGAGCTTTATTTAGTCCTATCATGTGGTAAGAGAAGAGAGAGAGAGCTAATACCATGTATCACATCAACCATCATTTCAATTCAATTCAATAAAACTTCTATTATCAAGGCACGCTATAGAATTCTGACCAATAACCCATGGGTTGGGAAGAGAACAAGACCAGAGAATCATAAAGTTATAGGGGGAAAGGACCTTAGAGATCACCTAGTTCAACTCCCCATTTTACAGATGAGGAAACTGAGGTCAAGAGAGGTGAAGAGGTGGGAAACATTGAATATAATATCAGACCGTGGCTGTGTTGGTTAATTTGGCTGACCTGTTTATTTTTTCCCCTCTTCTTTATTCTTTGCTATAAAAGGTGCTGGAGATGGGAGAGATGGCTACATTGGAAACTCTAAATAGTGTGAAAACAAAAGATTTAAATGCAATTATTTTAATTTTTTAAAATAAATCAATGTTGTGTTCAGGTGATTGCAGGTAACAGCTCTGTCCGCAAATTGGCCCAGTGCCAGTACAGTTTATTTTTGAATGCTCAGAGATATTTTGAGGTTATGTTGGGGAAAAGATCAAATGATTAATATTCTATTCCATGGAGAAGAATGTTCATCCAAAATTGTGTTTTGTCACATTGCCACCTTTTCCCTTTTCAAGACTTTTATAAATGTTACATCAAATTGTCTGGCATTAGAGAAATGTCTGAGGACATGGGCTGGGGGACTACATCTGTTTAAATGTTTATTTCTCTGGACTAGAAATGTTTGATTCTGAACAATAATGTATTATTCTAATGTATTAGAATAACAAGAATTAATAAAAAATTGTCTCAGACACATCTAAAGCACAGAGTGCAATATTAATTTTTTTCTTTAAAACTTTCATATGTATAAAACATTTATAACATTTAAAACATTGTGAAACATAAAATTTCTTTAAAATCATGCTATCATTGGAAAACAAAGAAGCAGAAAACCTGTCCCCCTTTGGAACTTGCCTTCTAATGGGAGAGACAACATGTAAACATATGGGCATATACAAAACGCATCATCGTCATCATCATCATAGCTAGCATTTAGGTAGCAATTAAAAGCTTTCAAAACTCTCTATATATTATCTCATTCAGTCCTAATAATAACCTTTCAAGGTAGAGCATTTCCACTTTACAGATGAGGAGACTGAGGCTAGAAGTTAAATGACTTGCCCAAGGTCACACAGCTAGTAAGTGTCTGAGGCAGGATTTGAACTCAGGTCTTCCTAACTCCAAGCCCTTTACTCTATTGGCTGTACCACCTACCTGTAACATACAAAGATGGATTTCATATAGATACTATCCAAATATAATTCACTATCTTTATTCTTTTATAGTCAGTGTTCTGCAGACTATTACACAAGCCAATTAAATGCTAGCTTTTGGTAGGTGAATTGGAATGTTGGATTAAAGATTATCTTGAGAAAAATTCCAGTTACAGATAGGACAAGAGGCACACACGCCTTATCTTGTGTCCGTGCATTTTTCATTTCTGATGCTCTTAGGATCAAGGTACTTAGTATGTCCAGCCTCACAGAGGCAGCTAGTGGAACAGTTGCAAGAAATAGAGCACTGGCCCTGGAGTCAGCAAGACCTGAGTTCAAATCCAGTTGTGCACACTTATTAACTTTGGGTCCCTGGGTAAGGATTTTGTCTCTGTTTTCTCAACCTTAAAATGTAACAGTAATAGCACGGACCTCGTGAAGGGTTGTTGTGAGGATCAAATGAAATTCTATTTGTAAACAGTGTGTGGCACATACTAAATACTACATAAATATTTGTTGCTTTCCCTTCCCTCTCAAACTCACAAAGTTGCCTCCACAACCCCTTCCCCTCTTTGGTGAGTCACTCACTTAATGATCAATATGGGATTGCTTCATCATTTCAAAGAACAAGACTTGCAGTAGTCACATAGCCTGAAAGTTTCTAAATGAGTTCCCTGGGCTGACCCTTATGAGTGTTCCCCCCGACTACAACTTCAAATTCAACCCTAGAAACACGGAGCCACCAGGTAGCATTGGAGCCAATCATTATGAATCTAATCCAGTCTCACCATTTTCCAATTGTGCAGAGAAACTAGCATTTCAATGATCTCCCTTGATGTAACTATTCTGCCTTTCATTATGTTAATAGCATGAAAGCTCTCCATTGAATATTTGACCCAACTTTCATTCTGTTATGATGATCTCTTTGTAACTATATAGGGAACCAGAAATTTTCCATATCTTTCTTTATATCAGAGAGAATGTTATGCACCATACAGACCTCATGAGACATTCAAAAATGCATACCACGGTGGAGGGGAAACTGGCCTTATCGAATTTAATCTGAATATAACTATTTGCATGAAATGTGTATCCATTAAGTGTTATGAAAATTTTTCATTTCTTTATCCATTCTTTAACTCTATCTTTTGCTAATGAGGGAATTGAGACTATTTGTGTTCAATATTATTAGTAATATATTGCATTTTTTCTGAAATTACAGCTATGAAGTTCTATATGTCATGCATTATTATTCATGAAATTATATATGTATTATGCCTGTGGGTTTTTTTTCATAAATGTTGAAATGTTTATTTTGTTCTTTGAAATTCTGTGATTTTTTAGATCACCTTGACCTTTTGGCTTTTGCTTTCAGTGACCAGTTAAGGATATCAAGGGTTTCAGATATTCTTTTGTTTTCCAGATTTCATCTCTACATGCTTCTTTTGTGTTATCATTAATTGGTCTATATGAGTTTCAGATATTCTACAGGTACTGCTGAGAAGAAAACTTCCCTTCTATTAAATCACAGACATTATATAAACGTCTCACTTCATTTCCCTCCTGAACCTGAGTCAGGTTGGCCCAGAAGTCTTGGTGTTACTTAGCAAAATTGAATCATGATGGCCAATGAATAGACTAGTTCAAGGAGGGGAAGGTTTATGTTGACAAAGCAGAGCCACCAGTGATCAGATGATTGGATGTAGCAGACTGGCCACAGCTTTTCTTGTGATCCCATTTGGAGTTTTCTTGGCAAAGATACTGGAGTGTTTGGCCATTTCCTTCCCCAGCTCATTTTACAGATGAGGAAACTGAGGCATACAGGGTTAAGTGACTTGCCCAGGGTCACAGAGCTAGTAAGATCCAGACTTGAACTTATGTCTTCCTAACTCTAGGCCCAGTACTCTATCCACTGCACCACCTAGCTGCCCTGTGGCCACAGCACTTCTAGCTAATTTAGTGGTGAGTCCTCTCAAGGGACAGAGAGGGGTCCTCCTACTAGTTCCTAGCCTGTTATTAGCCTAATGGCTGCTTAAGGAGGTTGATATGGGGCATAAAGATGTCATCACCCAGATTATATCTTGCTAGGTATTTCATGTGTGTTAAATTTTTTACAACTTACCATGATACATTATGTAGTCACCGCCATTTCCTTGCACAATCTACATAAATTACCACATCTGGGCTCTAGGCTAACCCTACTGTAATTTCTGATTGCAACATCCTTGGACCTGTATTATCATTACAAACCCCTTCACTTCACAAAGAAATGTGCGTTACTTTGTCATTCTTTTCATTCTCCTCTAACAACATAGCATTGATTGAGTTCCTATGGATGTTGCCCAAGGAGTGGCTTTACATTCTATTTTGGATCTCAACTATTTCACAGATTACATCTGGAGGGAAGTCCCTTGAGGTTACATTTGATGAATCCAAATGCCATATACCCATTATCTGCCTTTATTTCTTGGTGAAGCAATAATGTCTGCTTCTTCCAAAAGTATTTCCGTACCTCCTTTTTAACCTTTGTTGTCTCAGACAAAATGAGACTTGGGAAAGACCTAATTTAGAAAGGTCAAGGTCCCCCACTGCCTCCTGGGCCATCACCAGTCATCTTGACTTTTGTCTTCCCGTTGCACTCTGATGACTCTGGAGAAGAGGGTGAGGCTGATGACTCTGTACAGCTCTGCCTAGCTTAAACCCAATTCCCTTGCAAGTCAAAACAGCACCCCATGATGTCAGTGGTCGTTTTTGAGAATAAAGGATGAAGAACAACAACCACCTCTGGATCATCTCCTCTGAGACTGTCACTTCTCTTTCTCCTTTTTGGCAGGGAAGTGTTAATCTATTCTTTAATTGCCTTAGGACAATGAGGTCTAGGATTAGTTAAAATTCTACAGGTTTCTTTCTAAATGCTTACGGTTCATCTCATACTTCAAAGGGTGTGCATTGCTTGGTATCATTTACGCTGGGAATGCATAGGTGTTAATTGCTCTAGGTGTCTTCCTCCCATCAGCTTTTGTCTCAGAACACCAGCAAGTGACTTCATGCATGCAGCCACTGCTTTGTGCTTGCTATGGTAACACTTGCTATGTTTCGCTTGGAGGAGGTCAACACATTTGTACATATTGCCTTCATTCAGTGGTTCAGAGTTACCTCTGGATTGAAGCTTAAAGACATCACTCTCCATCCTTCCTGGTATATGTTCAGAACTTATTCAATATTTTAGGTAACATTGGAGAAAGTTTGCAAAAGATGAAAGAGTTATTTAATTGGTTCCCTCCATTCTCCCTAGTGAAACCCAATAGCTTACTGTCATCTACATTCATCAAGTGGTTAATAAGATGTCTTAATCAACTCTTTGAATATGGAAGCCAGACTTATTTCTATTTAAGAGAATAATGAATCTAAGGATAGGCAGAATCACATAGTCTTAAATTGTCTTCCTGAAAAAC